TTGTGAATGTGGCGTCAATGCATAGCCGAGCTGATGTGTTGGCAGTTCCTGATTGATAGCCTGATTTGCGAATCTGCCTTGTCTGCCTCTTTATGTAAGCCCTGTTGTGTAACAAGCAGCAGAACAAAACTCAGCAATTCCCCTGCCACTTTACCCCACAGGAATTTTCGTTCTTCTCTTGCAAAACCCATAAGATTCAATATGGGTGACCCATTCTCTATTGCAACCGGTGTCGCTGGCCTCGTTTCACTTGGAATTACCGTTTGTGACGGTCTTCACACCTACTTCAGCGCTACCAAAGACAGAAAAGAGGATCTCGCAATTGTCACACAGAACCTGGCCCTGTTCAAATTTCACATTTTTGCTGTTCAATCGAGTGCATCAAAGCTTGGCCATCGTCATTCTCCAGCCATCGATGGCTTACAATTGAGTTTAATTAATTGCGAAATGCAGCTTGGATCTCTCCAAACATTGCTCGACGAGTTGATGCCCACTCAAGATCCATCCTTGACCAAGGAGCTTTGGAAAAGGCAGAAACTGATTGCGCGATATCCCTTTGACCGCAAGAAGCTGGTGCAGCTGGAAGAGTACCTCTCACGAGCAAACAATACGCTCAGTAGCTTTATACAAGCCCTCAACCTGTAAGTGATTCCTGGCGTTCGAAACTTTATTATTGCTTAGAAAGATTAGCGATATAAACATCCGCATGAGTGACGAATTGGAAGTTTTTAAAAAGTCTCTGGATGCACTTGACATCAACACCAAGACCACGTTAAGAACTATTGCCACCAGACTCGACATCATCAAACCTAGGGCAGAATCTAGCACCCCCCAACTTGTTACATCCAGAATAAAATATGCTACAGCCTCCAGCAGCGACATGACCGGCTTACCCAAGACCGCCGTGAGTGTTGCGGAGACGAAGGCCTCATTGAACGGATACGAGCGATCTCTCGAAGATCTCACCAAAGTCCAACAAATACCTCGTTATCTACAGAATGCTGAGCTAGAAAAAAGGCTGTGCAAGAAGCTAGGGGGCATGGATTGTACCTGCGAAGCTTCAAACAGAAAGACTAGCAATCGTCCTGCAAATCGCACGTACCGATTTTGGGGGGGGCTGACAGTCTCAAGACAAGGAGATGCACGAGTAAATCATCGCCCAGGGTGCATTTTCTTTCACAAGTCGAACAGAAATATGTCGAGAACTTCACTGACGTATTTCGGGCTTCTCTCTCGTTTTTCTCAATCATTCACTATCTCTCTCACACAAGATTACCCCAATGGACCATATGGTGTCTCTTTTGGATTGCAGCCTTGCAACATTGTTAAGAGCAGCCCTGCTTTCAGACTCTTTGACATACAGTCAGGAAGACACCGTGAATCCTCCGATGCTTGTTTGGTTTGTATGAAAAAGAATGGCCTAGACCACCTTGCAGACAATGTTATTAAAAAGCTGAGAATTATCTACGGATCTGGAGATGCATCACCTTTCGATGTTGACCAAGATGGCAATAATGTCGCTCACATATGCTTGAAGGTGAGTTAGCTGCTGTTTTGTCCCTTGTCGATCTTTGTATGACATCGAGCTGACAACTCTGGAGGCTTGTCTGCACCTTTTCAAATTGCAAGAGCAACTGAAGTTAAGCGTTACAGCAATCGATACCGTTTGCAAGATGCTAAGCTACCTAGCCGATCTCGGTGTGCCCATTACGGCATCGAATTTCAATCAAGCGTAATATTTTAGCCATAGCAGATTCTTTCACTGAACTAACATTGAATAGTAACTTGTTCACCCTATCAATGGATTACCGCGACCTCTGGGTTCTCCCGAGGCTTCATAAACTGGTCATGATCCAAGATTCAAACTTTTACGACACCCAGTTGGCTCATAGCGTGTGTCCTCCAAGTGTCGGTCATGGAGAGAAATTTCCAAAAAGGTTAGAGACCTTGTGTAAATATCCTGAGATATGTGAAGGTCATATTACTATTCTCTGCTTTTACTGCTCAAAATACTAATGTTTAAACGCAGATATTGGATTCTCAAAACTGTTTTTAGCTATCATCACGAAAGATCATCGAAGGCTTCAATCTATCCTGGCAGAAGACGAAAAGCTTTTAAATATTTCGCAAACGGACTTATATGGGCGTAACATATTACATGCAAGTAGCAATTGGCCTGATGGACTCAAAATTCTTTTGCGGCGGCAAGATGTCCACTCCTTGATAGAAATGGGCCCAGAAAACCAATATATCCGTCTCAGCCCTTTGGACTACAGTCTATTCTACAGTAAGATATACTGCAATGCTCCAGATCAGTGGACAGAGTGTGATAGCTGTACTTGCTACGTTGCGGTCCAGCTCATGCTCGAAGCCGATTGCAAAGTCACTGTCGGTTTCAGAAGGGCTGACACCCTAGCTAATTGCTCCTTGAAAGCCCGAAAATTGTTCTTCAAGCATCTCAAAGACAGGCGTCAGCGGCTGCGGCATATTGCTCTCGGCATCTTTCCTAAGAACATCCTGTCTCAATATGGAATAATCACGAGTCCCTTACCTGACAAGACTGCTCTCCCGCTGTGGAGTCTACTGCGACAAACTCAAGATCAGCGGGATCGTCGATTCTCGCTTCCCGATAGCCTTAATCCTTCTGACAACATACACCTTGTCCCCGAGGGCTTTTTCGACTTTCATTATCCCCTACAGGTTATAGAGCTAGCACTCGACTATGGCTTCACGCCTAGAGATGAAAATGGTGTTCAAACACTTCTATCTGGTAGCTACATCATACCGTACTATTCAGCCGAGAATTTAGAGGTTTTTATAAGATATCTAGATTGGATACTCCGACAAAACCTAGCCCTAGAGCTTTCATTAGGGCCATACCGGTTCTCCATTCTTCATCGCGCTGCGATTTTCGTTGGGAATCTTATGTACCATGCCTCCAATCTGGAGCACCAGGATGTCTGCATATCCGAACTGCAGGGTTCGAGGACATTGCTACCAGCCATATACGACAACAAAGCCCAGTGCAACATACCATGTCCTTGCTCATCAGGAATACGTACTAGACCCTTGGCACATATTTTGCCCGCAATGTTATGGCGTCAAGGTAGCAGACAGGTGACGTATTTCTTTTCGCATATAGGAAAGAATATTGAACTTGTGGTTTCTTGTATCGATCTCTTGAAACTTTCAGAATGTAGTTCTGAATATTCATACATGGCGAAGTGTGCAATTCGTATTCTGACTATGATGTCCTTGGGGGTGAGGCACTTGCCAATCTGCCTAACTCAGGGCTATTACGATCTCGGGTATTCAATGGGCAATGAGGACTGGAAGGAAATATTGGACGAGGACCGGGAATTGATCGATCGGCTTGAAGCACTTGACGAACACTTTGGGGACACTTTCGATCGCCAAAATGTCTCTATCGCAGAGTTTCTTGGGGGCTACTGGCTAAAAAGAATGGACGAGGTCCTTGGGGGTTTGAACAAACCTCTAACTGTCGAAGATAGATGGAATCTTTTGGAGGCTGGAGTGCTGTTGAACGATGACGAGACTAATGATTCAGAATGTCGTTATGGGATTGTAGAATGGCCTTTGAGATCAGGTCGCTTACTTGGGTGGTCTTGGTGAAATATCTCAAACTGATCACGGATTCAAGAATGCCAGCTTCATATTAAACATCCTACGTCACTTCGCAAAACTCGATAGCCTAGTGATCTCGCCGCGTGCTCATTACATTGACTATGTTAGCATAGATTAATAATTCGGATATATGTTCAAATGGGCAAAGATCTCTTATCTTTGTCGATGGACGGATTGGGATGTATTAACCGGAAGCTTATCTTTTGACATAGAGATCTGCAGATTTATATCCTAGTCTATCGTGGTTTATCTGCGGGGTTGCTCCATTCTCACTAAGTGACATGCATCAACTCACGCATCTTCCGGGTCGTCGGCGCGCCCTTCAACATTGTCTTCTTAGTAATTCCTCACCGATTAAAGATAAGCATACTTGGTAACTTCAGTTGTCCTTCATGACTAGCTTGACGCTGATAAGCGAAAGTAACGTTAATGCCCCGATCTCGGACGTACCATCGCGTCTGCGACTCATATCTCGCTGCTGCGCATCTCTGACCACTTACAGGATACTTTGCGTTTATGCTACAGGAATTTGGATGGAGCTTTTGACTTGGCCGACGCTGTTGAGTATCCTATCATGTCTTCGGGGAACCAGCGGCGCCGACCGGGGAAAGGGCGCTCAAAAGTTCTTTGCAGATATGTCGACGCGTCCTTTTCGGACACTTCAAGTCGCCGAAGCTCACATTGCCCTATCTAATCTCAGAAGGAAATAGTATGTTGATGGAATATACTACGAAATATATATTTCGCAATTTCATCTCCTCGCCCAGCCATACTCATCGCTGGCTATAGACCGTTCTTGTTATCTGTCGCCATGAAGCAATCTATTGTAAATGTTATCTTTGGGCTGGGTGGCGCCATAGCCTCTTCTCTACCCGTCCAACTCCATACAAGAGGGGCCCCAACTTCTCACTTGACAAATATCTACGTCAAGTTTGATCAACCGTCGGAGGGTCCTTTGTCATTCACTTATGGTCTTTGCAACAGCAAATCTCGGTCTGAGTCCCACCACACAACAGCCATTACTGAAATCAAAGGTGTCTCACGATTAGTCTGGATCATTCCAGAAGATTCACATGATAACGGCTGCATCTCAGCATGGACAGAAGACAATGTTCTCGTGGGACGTAGTGAGCCTCAAAGGCTTCATCGAGTTAGGCGTCGGAATGCTCAGAAGCGGGCAGCAGGTGAGTCATGGTCCTTTCACTGTGGCTGGAGACTGATAGCAACTCTGTGACAGACCCAATCCTCATGAATGCCGAGAATGGTATTGATACACTAGGACCGTGGTTTGACGGCGTTGAGCATCTCTCCAAGACAGGTCTCTCTGCACTAGACGCCGACGCTGCCAAAGAAAAGCACGTTGCCATTGTTGGTGCCGGTATGTCGGGCTTGATGACCTACCTGGTTCTCTCACAAGCAGGCATGACCAACATCAGCATCATTGAGGCCGGCAATCGACTTGGTGGCCGTGTTCATACCGAGTATCTCACCGGCGGACCCTTTGACTATTCTTATCAAGAGATGGGACCCATGCGATTCCCTTCCACTTACAAGAGTCCTGAGACTAACGAGACAATGAACATCACGGACCATCAAATGGTGTTTCAACTCGCAGAAGAGATGAACAAGCTCAACAACCACGACAAAAACCTCAGTGTTGACTTCATTCCTTGGATCCAGAGTAGTCTAAATGGCCTCTCCTACAAAAACGAGTTCAAATTGCCAAGCGGACTACCCCCGACACTCGCAGAAATTGCGAGTAATGCGTCGCTCAGTCCTGCAAGTGCTAATGACCCTATGACCCAAGACCTTCAGACCAAGGTTGATACGTTCATGCCTGGCTCAGAGTTCAGCACTCTTATGGCAACGAACATGTTCAAAGCTCATAAGCAGTGGCTTGAAACTGGTCTGAATGGCCTTGGTGGTGATCAGTGGTCTGAATATGCTTTTATGGTCAACTACTTGAAGGGTAGCCTCAACAGCACTGACATGAATGGTGGCTGGTCTGCTTCGAGCTTTTGGGACTCGTTATATGAAGGGATGTACTTCTCAGCTGCCAGCTACAAGACCATCGATGGAGGTCTCAACAGGCTTCCTTTGTCTTTCCATCCTCTTGTCGACAATATTACAACCATGGAGCGCAAAATCGAACGTGTCAGGTACAGCGAGACCGAAGAGAAGGTCACATTGCAATGGCGCAAGGAATACAACGACACAACATTCCAGAACTCAACTTTTGACTATGCTGTTATCGCAGTACCCTTCTCTGTTGTCCGAAGGTGGCGTCTTCCTAAGCTCCCCGCAACCATCTCCAACGCCATCAAGGAGCTCAACTATGGGTCTGCCTGCAAGGTTGCGCTCGAGTTCTCTGAGCGCTTCTGGGAACACTACGAGAACCCAATCTATGGTGGGTGCAGCACAACTACGGATATCCCGGGCATTGGAAGTATCTGCTATCCATCCTACAACATGAATGGTACAGGCCCTGCGACCATTCTGGCAAGTTACATCAGTGGTGACATGGGAGTTCGGTTGGCAAGCATGTCCGAGGAAGATCACGTCCAGATGGTCCTTGAGGCCATGATTGAGATTCACGGAGAGTTCACTCGTGATCTCTACACTGGCAAGTATAACAGAAGATGCTGGGCGCTTGATCCTCTTGAGTCTGGAAGTTGGGCCAGCCCGACTGCAGGACAGCATTCGCTCTACATACCCGAGTATTTCAAGACATACAACAAGGTAGGCAGTGCATCAACTTTTACGAGACATTTTCTGACGACTTGGGTAGATGATCTTTGTTGGCGAGCATACCTCGTACACTCACGCTTGGATCGCCTCGGCTTTAGACTCGGGAATCCGTGGCGCAGTCCAGCTCTTACTAGGTAGGGATTTTCACTGCGGGTACAGTCATTCAGTGTCGCTAATAGAATACAGAACTTGGGCTAGTTGATGAGGCGAAGCATGCAGTGGAGAAGTGGATGGCCAGATGGATTGAAGTGGTAAGACAGTTTGACCCTGTTAAACGTAACATGACTGACATTTCGGGATATAGTAAGCGACCGGATACGCTCTTAGCGGGACAAAAGACGTTCGTGGAACATTCGGTAGCACTAAGATAATAGACTGGTCTATGTTTGTCAAAATCTTTGTCAAGCGATACAGGCGAGCCAGATTGTGTAATTTAGTAGAAAATATCCATCAGCTGGCAAGCTTTGTTATACGCGTATCGCGTTGATTCCGCATTTCTGGTTATACGATGCAGCCAATCAGAGCAAAGCAAAGTTCCCGCCTCATCCCTGTGCTAACGGAGCTCTCCGGTTGTCTAGCAAAAGTCAGGCAACTATTCCCGTGCCATAGCCGTGCCACCTCGAGGGTCTTTGCTCGTTGAAAGGATTGTTGAATTCGAGAGCTTTTCTAATTACTCTTGGTATACAGAACTTCGAGTTGCAGCAAAACTCACTGTAGTTAATTTATATCCCATAAGACTATAAGTACTATATCCTAGATATCATCCATAATTAAATTCTTCATGCTTCTCAATGTTGACAATGTCGATAAGATCAGCTGTAGCCAGGATGAAACCCTCTGCCTAGCTCCCATTTTTCGAGTACACCTTCTACTTTAGGTAACTTTATTCACAAGTCAATCTCAACATGCTCGCCAATAGTGTTTATAATCTTCTGCTCTCCATTCTCATGTCAATCGCCACAGTGGTTCATACAGACTGATTAATAAACACTCATACCTAGTGCAAATCCTATGCACTACACCTTCACGTGGAACGGGACATTTTTCTTTGGCAGGATGCGGTTCAAATGACATATCTTGCGTCTTTAACGAATACTTTTTGGATGTTACCTGCAATTGTTTACATGACAATGGCCTCTGCTGTGCCACGGAAGCTGCCTAATGATGCGTGCGATTGTCCTACTGCGATATCTTCGTGCTGGTTTGTGCAAGAACCAGGCACGTGAGGTCTTTGTGCTTGTGCTCTCGGAGGGTATCCGTCCATCCGAGGTGTCGTGCAGTTACTGACCGGATCATTGCGGTCGGGTAAAGTAGGTCTTGTGATAAAGATCTACCGCCAATTTCATCGTGTGCAGTAGAGGACAGCTTGGTTTGATTGTCTCTAGTAGATCTCGTTAAATAAGTGGAGCCAAGATTGATAAGAACGACCCCAACAGGGACCAAGAACAACCCGGATACATGACAACGAGGAGTAACAGGACACCAAGTCCGACAAGGACCAGTTATTAAATGATCGGAATAAATAGGTTTCATGAGAAAAGTCATACGATGCTTACGTCTAGAGTAGGACCTACCCGGAACAACCGGGAGTCACGTGACGCTAGTATTCTAAATTTGATTACGTGTAAAATTTTCATGCGCTCAGCCCCTTAGTCTAGTATTCTCATTGTTTTGTGCACATCCCATATCGCCGCCCTCTTCACCGCATAATGGCTGAGAAAACCGCCCACCAGCAGCCGCCATCGCCAGTGCGGTCTGGTATGAGACATAATGAGGACATCCGGTGCATCGTGTCCACGATTCTTTTTTTCCTCGTCTTTGTGATTACTTGGCACAATTTCTCATCGCCGCTGGCTGGAGGCTGGGTTTCGCTTACACTATGGTTGTCGCTCTTCCAGCTGTCCTTTATGGGCGCTGTGACAACGCATAATGCGATTCACTTGCCCGTCTTCTGGAGTAGGAATTGGAACAACTTCTACCAGATTTGCTTGTCTCTTCAGTACGGCGGCGCTGTTACGGTCTTTATCCCGGGTCACAATCTGTCTCATCACAAATACCCTCAGCAAGCAAGAGATGTCAGTAAGTAGCTTACTTCCTTCCTATTCAGACTCGATCGTCTGACAGGAAATTAAATACCTCAACTTCTCCACATATGACTTTGCTGACCGCATAAACAGTGCGCACCACTAAAGTCCGATATAGCTGGAACCTCTTGAACGGTCTGCTGTTTTTCTGGCATGTTGTTCTGTCGGGGAACAAAGATGACAAGCTATACTTTGAGGCCCAGGCTCGCCTCAATCGACCCATTGTGAGGCAGCGCCGCCGCGAAGAGATTGCTGTCTGGGGTACTACTGCGGTGCTCATCTTGATCGATTGGCGTCGATGGATCTGGTTCGCACTCTTGCCCCAGTTCTATGCAAAGTACTGCATCCTTTCATTGAACTTCCTTCAGCACGACGGCTGCGATATGAGCTCAAAGTATAATTTTGCGCGCAACTTCACGGGCATAACGCTCAATTACTTGTGCTTCAATAATGGCTACCATACCGTACATCATTTATACCCTGGTCTGCATTGGTCTGTCCTGCCGCAGAAGCATCAAGAGCTCATTGGGCCTCATATCGCCGATAGCCTTGAGAGCTCCAACATATTAGTGTATATGTGGAAGAGCTTTATTTATCCTGGCCTTCGTCTTGACTACAAAGGCCGTCGGCTTGTGATTACAAAGGAGGAAAACGAGATGCCTGACGAACCATGGTTTTACGATGGGTCAGAGACTTTCTCAAACACAAAGGAATACCTTTCTCAGGGTATGAAATAATCGCATATCATCTGAGCCGGAGTTGTAGAATATAATGCTTGGAGCCTGTATATACTATAGACATAGATACCAAAAGTCCTTTGTGCCAGCATTAATGTCTATAGTTTGTGTTTGCATTAAAGAGAATCCATGGTTCACAAAACAAATCATGTTTAACATTGATAATAGAATCATTACTAACTACTGTGAGTTTAAAGCTTCTTGGCTATAGAAGCAGACCCACCGAGGCCAATCAGGAGTAGAGGGCGGAATTACAGTGGACTTCATTCCGCATAGGGAAAGTGAACCCAACCAGGCATCACACATCCAAGCTCTGGCTACATACCCTAAGCCTAATTGCGTAGGTTCTGCTAGTGACACAATTAATAACAACAACTGCATGCTCTAATATACAGGCTTTAATGCAACTGGTAAGCAGTGAATAAATTTAATATTATAAATCTTTGCAGGTAATAGATTTGTCACTTATGGATTGCAACCATTATTGATCTCCTAACCTATTCAAAGAAGTCTAGTGCATCCATAATCTCTTATATACTTATCAACATCCTGTAGTTCGTTAATATAAATATTCTTACGAGTACTGAATCCTAAACCCCAAGCACTTCACTCTTAGTATCTTTAACTTCGTGCTAGTATTTATTTAACAAAGCATACACTTGCTGCCAAGGACTTTAGCGTTCATTCCATCTACTCTTCAGATACCCAATGACAGGTATGTTTTTATCGCCTTTGCTGATAAATCTTGACTGAACTTCTCACTAGGAGGGAGCGGCTTCATCGCGTCGCACGTCCTCAGAATTCTCTTGGATCGCGGTCACTCTGTCATAACCACTGTGCGATCCCAGGCAAAGGCAGACCACATCAAGAGTACTTATTTTGATGTTCCTTCATCCCGACTCGACTTGGCCATCGTTGAAGATATTTCTGTTGAGAATGCATACGATGAAGTGATGAAGTCGGCTCCCTTTGAGGCTGTCATTCACACAGCATCGCCTTTCCAGCTCTCGGGCGACGACATCAAGAAGACCTTTCTGGACCCAGCCATATTGGGTACCACTGGGCTGCTTGAAGCTGTCAAGGCTTATGCGCCAACGGTCAAGCGCGTTGTATGCCAAACAGTCAGCTGATCATAGGTACTGATAGCTGATATCGTATCAGGTTATTACTTCGTCTCTCGCGACAGCGGCTGTAGGGCCCGTAGACCCAACCTACGTCCATTCTGCGAAAGACTGGGTCGAAGTCTCGGAAGAAAAAGCCTAGTCAAATCCATGGGACGGCTACGTTGGTGAGTTACACCCGGACGGAGTGAGGAGTCCATGGTGCTGATTAATGTAGCAAGCAAGGTATATGCCGAGAAGGCGGCGTGGGATTTTGTAAAGAGGGAAAACCCACAATTTACCATCACAACAATTCTCCCTGCTTTCGTCCTCGGTCCAATCATCCATGACGTTGGCTCACTCGATACTATCATGACTTCGGGCCTACTGATCCGCGATTTCTTATCTGGTAATTACAAAGAAGAGATCGCACCGAGCCCGATTGGTCGTTTTACCGATGTCAGAGATGCAGCTTTGGCGCACGTCAGAGCCATTGAAGTCAGAGAAGCCGGCAGACAACGGTTCTTGGTTGGCAGTGGCACATACTCCAACAGACAAGTGGCTACTATCTTATGGAAGAATTTTCCAGCTCTTCGATCCAAGCTCCCGGGGCCAGAGGTCAGGTCTGGTGATTTCCCAGTTGGAGGAGTGCCCGATTTCGATGTTGAGCCGTCCAAGAAGATATTGTGTATGGTGTATGCAACTCTCGAGGATACTATCGTTAGCATGACTGGTTCTATGGTTGGGCTTTACAAAGAGTGAGAGATATTTATATTAGCTAGATAGTGCTCAGACCTCCGTTGTCGTTATCTGTATAGCATTGGATGCACCAAGACCATTATACACAGCCTTACGTAGCCACGTCTCAATATAATCCTTTGCCCGCGTGCGATAATCCTCGATAGGGCTGTATAGCTGGATGAGAACCAGAGGAAAAAACAGCCTGACATGAACGCAAGTCGAATTTCTCTCTTTGAGAAGCTTCACACAGTTCAATACCATTTCGCAGCCTCGACGGAGATCTATTCCAGATTGAAGAGTATGAGTTTCCTTATGGAGCAGTGCAATGAGTATCCATGAGCAGGCAAAGTAGGAGAGCGTGAGGGTCATGACACCCTTGAAAGAGTCTTTTTGCTCATTAGTTAGGCTTTTTTGGACTTCCTGAAACTCTTTCCACAAGCTGTCGAGCTTTGACGGTGCGTCTTTTGGAAAGCGGGCTGAACTATGCTGGTAGCGTTTCTTGATGTAAAAGTCTGTTAAGATATATAGCTCCACAAGCAGGCGATCGAACACAAAGTCTGCGGCTGCGATATACTGGCTACGAAGATATTCAAACACAGGCCAGGTGTCTGAAGCATTGCGTAGGTAGGAGCGTGGGGACATTAGCATTGCTAGCAACCATGGATTTATGTTAGCATCTAACGATTCACCAACAAAAAGGGTCAGGGTTGGCATACCTGCTGACATAGACAATGATTGGCAGCTTGCCATAAAAGCGGTTGCGTGCTGATATCACCTGCAGCTACCAGCATCCTCCAAGCACCAGATAAATGCATCCCATATGCATCCGATGTCATGATAGTGGGTTGAATAGCCTCAAAGAAAGACAGCATCACTGATGTGCATACATTAGGCACAAATGATGTTGAATCTGCCGCGACTGCCCTGGAATGCCTTCGCAACGTCTGGATGTACAACTCGGTTGCCTTCTGAGCCACTGATTTGTTTCTCGACACAGCCGCACAGAAAGCTAAGCCTACAGCCCGGACAGCAAGGTCAAGAGTAGGCGCCGTTTCCTGAAATCGTGTCTTTTGTAGCTCCTCAAGAAACGACTTGACCGAAGCCCTCGCATCTGGGATAGCAAAGGCAAAGAATGCGGCTTGGAAAGCGACGGCCTCAACAGCCGAATGAGACACGCGGAGATGTGACAATGGACTAGCCTGTTTCTGCGTGAATTTATGCCTTGATCGGCTGTGCTTTTTGGTAGTTTTGGCGGTCTGGTCAATGATGATGACCGACGTTATGGGACCAGAGCATTCTCGATTCCACTGTTGGCAGTTGTGGCAGACTGGATATTGGCCATCGCAGCCTATGCGCCTCTGCCGGCAGGCTTGGCAACCTCGGCTACGGCGTGGCATCTCAAGAAATCGAGCAGTCTTTCTATTCTCTCGTTTCGAACTAAGATACTCTCGGTAGGTTTCGCGAGGAGGGTTCTGTACTTTAAGGATGTTACTCTGGTATGTGAGCCTGATGTCAGCTTTACGCTACACCTATTTGGGTAGGTTTCGCTAGTGTATTCTCATTTGGTTGCTGATTGGTTGCTAAGCCTCGGCGTAAAAGGCACTGTAGGCGGGATGTTGCTTATGTCCTGTATGAAGCCGAACCTTGGTTTAACAGGTATTGTAAGCGGGATTCATGCATAGTTATGTGAAGCTAGCATCGGATGCTCTTTTCAACTTAGCTTGGTCCTGCACCTTAGATTCATTCATTCATTTGGTCAGCAAGTTTGATCAATATCCCGAGTGATAGGTCTAAGCAGACATACATTGTTTGTGTAATTGGACTACGTTGAACACTACGTAATTACCGCCAGATGCATTCGGCCGTCCGTAAAAGTTATAAAAGCGCCTCTGCTGTAACTTCTTCATAACCAATTCATAAGAATCATACAATACATTTACTTCTAATTCCTGCCGCATCAAAGGTTCAAAATCAGCTTTGACCGCTCAAACTATGTCTGCCAATTATTCTACAGTCCCTGCTGCGGCAGTCAAACAGCCTAAACCCTTCATCGTGCATCATACCGATGAGCAGTTACGAGATTTCAAGACTGCTATTGAATCTGCCAAGCTCGGTCCAACTACCTACGAAAATCTTCAACAGGACCGAAAATATGGAGTCACCTCGCTATGGCTCCGCGAGGCCGTGGCGGCGTGGAAAGAATTTGACTGGTAGGCAGTACAAATGTCCTTTTCACGGTACACCACTGACATAATCATTGATCTTTAGGCGCAAGGTGGAGGGTCAAGTCAACCGGTTCCCCAACTTCACTGCTGAAGTTGAGGACAATGGTGTCTCATACACCATACATTTCATGGCTCTCTTTTCCAATCGGGATGATGCTATACCTGTACTCGCTCTACACGGTTGGCCAGGGAGCTTCCTCGAATTTCTTCCTATTTTCTCTCGGCTGTCTGCCAAGCACAGTACCCAAGAACTCCCATATCACATCATTGTACCTTCACTCCCTGGATATGCATACTCATCAGCTCCACCACTGGACAGAGACTTTCGTCTTGAGAATGCCGCCAATATTCTGGATTCTCTGATGGTCCAGCTGGGATTTTGGGAATGGCTATGTCGTTCAGGGTGGTGATGTCGGGAGTAAGATCGCACGCGTCCTTGGTGGTACCTTTCCGAGAGCCAAGGCCATTCATCTGAACTTTTCGATTATGCCTGACCCCGGGAACATCAACGAAATCGTCTATGATGACTTGGAGCGTGAAGGTCTCAAACGCGCCGAGTGGTTCACCAAGTTTGGCAGTGCTTACGCTCTTTTGCACGCTATCAAGCCCGCCACCATCGGCCTAGCACTATCCGCCAGTCCTGTCCCCCTCTTGGCGTGGATTGGTGAAAAGTTTCTCGACTGGACTGATGATGATCTGCCACTTGATGCTGTCTTGGAGTCAGTTTCACTTTACTGGCTAACCCAGTGTTTCTCGACATCGCTCTGGCCATATCGGCAGCTGTTTACGCCTGGTAATATTGGTGCGCATGAGAATCCGGTGTGGCATATTAATAAGCCACTAGGAATGTCTTGGTTCCCCAAGGAGATTGCGCCAGTCCCAGAGGCATGGACTGCGACAACTGGGGACTTGGTACTGTTCAAGAAGCATAACAAAGGAGGCCACTTTGCCGCCATGGAGCACCCGGATGTTCTGTTAGCTGATCTGGAAGAATTCATTGACATAGTTAAGGCTTCGATTTAATAAATATGAGATATATTCCCCTAATAATTCCTGTCTGTCAGTTGGTGTCCCAGCCTCACGGCCCTGGCTGGTAATATTGATCTGCCATATGCAGCCGGACATATGCAGTGCCTTTTACCTTTTACAGTTTAGGTGGGTGCTCCGAAGACGTTGCCAGGAGAATTGTTTCCCAGTTTGCTTATTCACTTGCGATCTGCAGATCGTTGTGGATACCTTCCAGATCAGAACTGGCTTAGAGAACTAAAATGTAGCTGCAGAATGAAAGCCAATGACAATACGAGAACGCCACAGCTGCATCAGTCAGACAAAGGCGTTGATGCCCTCACCAAGAGCAGTTTCACAGGGACTGCTTAGAAGCATTCCCCTTTGTAAACGCGGTGGGAGGGATAAGGTTTGGGCGGCTGAGATCTATCTCACCAAGTGGCGAGAAGTTCATGGCTTTAAATCAATCCATCAAGATGAGGGCTGGGCCGCTTTGACTAGCTTATTTAGTGCAAACAGCATATAGAAGTGATCAACACAAGCTTTTGACACTGCTGCCCAAGCAGTGGTTGGAAGTTGCCGGGTGGCTTTATGAGGCGTATCTAAGATTCGATAGTCTGTGACTGTATTACCCCGCCTTCACGCCTTATTACGTAGTAAGGGCCTGCTGGGACATTGAGACAACAAGGCAATTAATCGTAAGGGAATGAATCTTCGCTTTCTTAACCCCTTCTCTCTAATTACAGGCCTCGCAGTTATCTATAGTATTTATTCGAAGCTATTGACCTTCCTATTGACCAAGATCTCACACCTTGAGTATCACACTTTCGAGTATCAATATGGGTGGCCGGCACCGCTTTGAGAGGTTTAAGAAATATTTCAATGCAAAAGAAGGGAAAGAAGCGAAAGAAGAGCCCAGCACGGCTTCATCACCTGTCGGTAATCCACGCCCACCCAAGGATCCCGATACAACTACAGATCTCCGATCACCTCCTGTCGACAAAAAACTACCTTTTGTCGGCAACGAGCCAAAGAAAGAAAGCAAACAGAATAAGCTTCAAGAGCAGTTGTGGAACCAGGCTTATGATGGGCTCCGACAGAGTGAGAACAAGTACATCGCCCAATATGAAGAGATTCTTGTGTCCGAGCTCAAGAAAGACAACCCCGATAGCGATACAGTCTCACTTGGGACCTCTCATGAGGAGCGATGGCGACAGATGCAACGTCTTGTCCAGATTGGCCTGTCCAAGACGGAAAAGGAAGCCAAGATCTACGAGAAAGTCAACGATGGACTGGAACTCTTTGGCACAGTCAGAGCTCTCGTTGAACCAGCCGTATCCGCCGTTCCGCAAGCTGCAATCCCGTGGGTAGGAGTTTGCTTCATCCTCGAAGTCATTTCAAACCCAGCAAAGCAACCAGGCGTCCACCGCGCGGGGCTGCAGCATGTTCTTTCGCGTGTTAATTGGTACTGGAACCTTGCAGAACTTCTCCTTGAAGACAACTTGGAGTCCAAGGAAGACGATGAAGGGACCGCATTGACAAAACTCCGTCTTGAGCTCCAGCCACTTGTGCTTGACCTATACCAGAAGTTTCTTTCTTACCTGATCGAGAGTGTATGCTACTTTCAAAAGAATCGGGCCGCTGCGTTCCTCAAAAGCGTGGTCAATATAGACTACTGGAATGGCAAGATCAAGGACATTGAGGCCTCGGAAAAAGAATTCGATAAGCAATCTCAGCAGTACAATACGACAGAATCCCGTGAGAGGCTCAAGACTCTGATTATTGGCGTCAAAAGCATTGAGAAGGCTATTGATCGCCAGACAGAGCAGCAGAAGAAGCTGAACGAGGACGAGAGCAATAGGCTATGTCTTCGGGCTCTCTATACAACCAATCCACTTTATGATAAGGAGAGGATTGAAGAAGAGAAGGGTAGGCTTTTGTCTCATTGCTATTCCTGGATTTTCCTTACCGAGGGTTTCCAGACTTGGCAACAAGACCCTGATTGCAGGCTGCTCTGGATCAAAGGGGACCCTGGCAAAGGCAAGACAATGCTCCTTTGCGGCATCATAGACCGCCTTGATGAGATGACACCGGGCTTGATTTCATGCTTCTTCTGCCAAGCCACGAGGAATCATCAGAATAGTGCCACAGCTGTTCTTCGGGGGATAATCTGGAGTCTCGCCCATCAGCATCCTGATTTGGTCTCTCATGTGCGCAGTGAGTTTGACAGCGCAGGGGAGCAGGCGTTCAACGGACCAAACAATTGGGAAATTCTGTCCTCCATCTTGAGGAGAATGATATCAGACGGCAACAATCGGGTCCCTGTGGGTACCACTATTGTGATCGACGCCCTTGACGAATGCACCAAAGACAACAAAAAGCTACTTGATCTGATTGTGGACTTTTGTGCTAGTAAGGAATCTCGAGTGAAGTGGATTGTTTCGAGTCGAAACTGGGTGGAATTTCAAGACGCCTTTATGAAGAAGGTTATTGCCTCACAGCGAGTCGTTATGTCTCTGGAAGATAGCGAGGAAGCCAAGGAAGCGATCAGCAATGCTGTTGATGCATATATCGAGTACAAGGTGCAAGAGCTCGAGAGAATCAAGGAGACTAAACTCGAAGCCGAGGTTCACAACATCTTGGCCGAAAAGTCTAGTAGTACCTTTCTCTGGGTGGCTTTGGCCTGTCAGAGATTACTCAGTAGCGATATCGATGATTGGCAAATTCTCGATACACTCAAGCGATTTCCATCCGGCCTGAAAGACCTTTATAGGCGCATGTTGCAGGAGGTTAAAGATTCCGGCCATGCATCGCAATGCAGGGACATTCTAGCAGTTGCTACTCTTGTGCAGCGTCCTCTATCATTGGGAGAACTGTCGTCCAGTGCCCAGTCCCTCTCCCAGCATTCGAGCAGACTTGATGCCCTGAAGAAACAAGTCTTGCGTTGCAAAGGGTTTCTGGTTGTCATAGACGACGTGGTCTCGTTTATGCATCAATCCGCCAAGGATTTCTTGTTGGAAGACCAGCTTGCAAGGGAGTTCATCTGGGAAGCCGAGAAGGAGGAACAGTTATCGGAAAGCATTCTGCGTGGTCATCAAACTATCCTGAGGGCAATGTTGGAGACGATGAAGAAGACGCTCAAGTACGACATTTCTGATCTCAGGAAACCGGGTGCAGATGTACTATATCTCGACCGGAAGGATGTCTCGGATCCCCTTTCCCCGGTACAGTATGCCTGTTGCTACTGGGCCGATCACATTTCGAAGTTCGACGACGAAATTGCCTCTGCTACCCTCAAATTCTTCAAAACATCAGTGTTCTACTGGCTAGAGGCCTGTTCGCTGCTTGGAAAGGTGCCTATTGCACTGCTGGCGATTCAAAAGCTGAAGAATCTAGCGGTATGTACCCGTTCTATATGTTATGCGTCCCTATTCTAACGGAGTTTCAGGTTGGTACGGAATACCACGAATTGATTAGTGTGCTACGAGACGTCAATCGGTTCGCCCTGTACTTCAAAGGTGCAATCGAGCAGTTTCCTTTACAGATGTATGCATCCGGGCTTTTCTTCAGCCCGAGAACTTCATTGGTAAGACAGGCATTCAAGCAACATGCCCTCGAGACGTCATGGCTGAATCTGCCCATCTCAGAAAACTGGGATGCTTGTGTTCAGACGCTCGAAGGGCATACATCTACAGTTTCCAATTTCGCCTTCTCTGGCAATGGCCAATGGTTAGCGTCGACCTCTTATGATTGCACAATCAGAATCTGGGACGTGGCGACGGGTGTTTGTCTACAGACTATACACAGCCCTTATATAGAGGTGCATGCAGTTGCAATTTCTAGTGACAGTTCTTGCCTTGCAGCAGCATCTGAAAATTGCACGATCGAATTCTGGGATACCAAGTCAGAGGAATTCACCAAGACCCAAACAGTCGATACTCGAGGAACTATCATTATTGGTCTTATTTTCTCCCCGGATGATGAATGGCTTGCCTCCTGGTCGTCTGAGCCCAAGGTTCAGATTCGGAATGCCAAAACAGGTGATTGCATCTACAGTATTGCAGTTGAGCAACGACTTCCGATCGGACCGGAAATTCGGTTTTCCTTTTCTTCTGACAGCCAGCGTATCCTGCTTGGCTCAGACCAACCTGGCATCCGGGATATCATTGGTTGCAAATGGACCAACTACCCTGAGATTCATCCAGAACGGCTTTTGACATCAGCTTTCTCTTCAGAAGGAACATGGGTAGGACACGCCTTTGGCGAGCACGGTCATTCGATTTGGACATTTTCTGAGGCAGACTCTCATCGAGTGGTAGATTTACTGAGAGATGACGGGTACGCGCTACCGTCCTCAGGCCAATATCCAGCTGGGAGACCATTGCCAACACCGCAGAGGCCCTCGGCCATTTCTAACGACGGCAAACAAGTCGCAACGTGCACTGAATACCCCTTCCGGCTAGCCATAGCGGATACCTCTAACGGAGCCGTTGCATTTGCACACCCCCGAATGGCAACAGGGGCGGGAAATGATCTTCCTATGGTAATGGCCTGGTCAGCTGACAGCCAGTGGCTCGCGTAGGGGGAGTTGGAGATAATGGCCAGATTGGAATATGGGACCCGAAAGCGATCAAAGATGGCAGCGGGACGGATGAAATCCGCAAACGCATAAAATCGATGGCATTTTCGACAGATGGCCAGAGGTTTGCCTCGGGCTCTGAAGACGGCATTATTGAGATCATGGATATGGCACGTCCTGGTGAAATTCTGTTCACACTTGAGGGCCACGATTCTTCTGTCTATGCGATAATATTTTCCACCTCAGGAAAGATGCTTGCAACCCAGTGCGCGTTCTTGGTCAAAATCTGGAACATCGAGGCGTCAGGGGAGTGCCTACACACATTTCAGGCGGGTCAAATAGAACTTCGACTCGCTATAACATGTCACTGGTCCATGGCATTTTCAACGGATGACTCAAAATTCGCGTTCAGTCAAGGAGAGAATGCCATCGAAGTTCATGACCTGGTAGATCAGAGCATGCATAAACTTGAACTGGAATATGTTTCGTGTCTAGTATTCTCACCTGATGGCCTCTCTCTAGCAGCTGGAGATATGCATGGTAATGTTAAAGTCTGGGACTTACGAACCAAAGACGCCCCGAAGTGGATATTCGAATCTGATGGCTCGTCACTTGCCATTGCCTATTCATCTGATGGAAAATTACTTGCACAGGCAACCTCGACAGGGGAGATTTCCGTTTGGCAAATCGCAGCGGAAAGCTGCCTCCTGAAACTCAAGACTGAGTGGCAGATTGAACAATTATCGTTCAGCCCTGACGGCAGATCGCTCATGACTGATCATGGCCGTTTGATGCCGGATGAATGGCCTTCTAATACTGAAACACAGAAGGATGGCATCCAGAACAACGATGATCAAGATGAGCCCTCGAATGTACGATTTACTATTCAAGGCTATGGGATCGATTTTGACGGAGCTTGGTTGACAAAGGATGGTGAGAGAATTGTCTGGCTGCCTCCTGAGCACAGGCCGAGCTCAGCCCTCGTTATGGATTCGGTAATTGCAATTCGCAACAGCTCTGATCAGTTGATGATGTTTTCTTTTCGCAATTAATACTATTAGGTATTAATCTATATATTTATTTACATAGGGAGAACTAGTTCAAGTAATTAATTGTATGCTGGAGGGTACCTTGCGATACACCAAGTTTATTTGTTTACTGAGCCTTGGGAATACTGCATTTTGGCCTTGAATTTGGTGTCTGCATGGGATTTGGAGATTCCCGGCTGCTGGAGGGTTCTTGTTGCCATCTGTTAGCTGAGGTGCAGAATGATTCATTAGGTTCCCCTCGTCGCCCGTCTTTCTGCTACCCTTCGTGATATCATTGAGGCCTGTCAACCCGTGACGACGAGCGAGAACCTGACTGAGGATGACATACGCTTGCTTCGCTTCCTCTGGTACAAGGTCAGTCTCTCTGCAAAGACTCGGCTACCAGTCAAATGCTCTTACAGGATTCTTGTTCTTATTGTAGACCCAATTCATCTTTTCAGTGCCTGTGAGAAGCATTTAAATAAATATGGAAAGATTTAATAAGACAAGTTAACTAGTCTAGCTTAATTAGCATCTTCCGGCTAGTTGGAAAGGGTGCTGGTGCTAAGCAATCACCACGTGATGATACCCCGCGAAACTCGTTACCCCAGATATTTGCTGGGCCTGGGCCGCCTGGCTAAGTAAAAACCCAACAGTTCAAGCATCTTTCCTTACCTCGTACATATCCAATTCATTACTTTAATTATAATGTCAGAGCCAAATTCTACTGTATGTCCTCAGGTAAAAATCCTTGTACGACATCTCTCTGCTAATGCCCATCTAAAGCGCGCCCTCCAATGCCCAGAATGCACTCTCAAGTTTTCGCGTCCAAGCCATCTCCATCGGCATCAGCTCACGCATTCTGCGTCCAATCACAGACAACACATATCATGCCCATATTGCCCAAAGACCTTCAGTAGACGCGACGTTCTGCTGCGTCACCTGCGTCATGGACATCAGGTTCAAGAACAATCGAGACGATCAAGTCAAAAGTCGTGTTTTCGATGCGTTGAACGGAAGGCGAAATGTAACCGTGAAAGGCCCTGCAATGGCTGCATTCGGTCGGGTAGCGATTGCGCGTATCCTGCGACAGAGGATATAAATGACTGGGGGGTGCATGAGGGCGCTTCTCCTACGAAACAGGCATTTCTTCCCTCCAACGCGCCGCAAATACAAGAACAACAAGATGGATCGATGACTTCTCAAGCGGAAGACGATACTTCGCCCTTTCAACATGAGATGAGATCTGAGAGCCTCTCATTGGGGGATTCGACAGGGACCGTCCCATTACCAACGGCATCTACAGCTCATCAAGTCCATGATGCTCAAATCACGGATGAAGATTGCCAAGCTGGCCCTTTTTACATTCTGGATGATGAGCCGACAGTCTCTCCAACTCTAGACATCCCACAATCCTTCAATGTCTTGCCAGTAGATCCAGCCCATACAGTTTTTGAGGATACTTTTGCTCTTTCTCCGTCATCCATGCTTCCAGGACAGACAAGCTTTCGGACTGGTGGGTTTGACTGGCTGAACTTTGACATAGGCAATAGTCCCCAAGGCTTTCAGCTTGACACATTCTACAATAGCTACATACCAGAATTCTGGTCCTCCAGTACAACTCAGCAAGTCCCCGAGTCAGGAGGGCCTGGGAGCGGTGATGTTGGCAATGGAGTACAGCACAAGATGGGCAATGGGGACTCGAGCCGGGATTCACAAGACGAAGGGCAACCGGACATCGAACAAAACACGCTGGCGTGGCCTTTTGATCAAGCGCATAAGCAATCTCCTCATCGTTATCAGCTCCCTCCTCTTCGCGATATTCTTAACGGTTATCGCGCGACAGACGGACCGCGCCCCGTTCAAACAACACTTGTCAAAGGCTTCATCCAGATTCTGTCTGAAAACCCGCTTCCTCAGCTTGAAACCTTACGAGATCCTTATTCTATACAAGCTTACTGCAGCCTACAGCGTCTTGTCGACTCTTATTTTTCTCGGTTTCACGATATTCAGGCGATTATACACAAACCTACTTGGGCCATGTCGGCTTGCCCGCCTATTCTTCTCACGGCCATGGCCTCTGTTGGCGCATTGCTCTCTGATGCCCAGTCAGATTATGAGCTATCAGTAGCACTGAGTGAGATTTGCTCTACAATGATCAACTGGATGGTTAGTTTTGACTCTTCATCTACTGTACGCAATACTGACTATCCAAGGGCGCCTCAGATGCTACCAACTACAGCGATGTTTCATATCTTAATGCGCTCTGCCTCTACCAGATCTACTCCCTTGGGTCAGGAAAACGACAGCTATATCAGAATGCAGACAGGTCTCGTGGGCTCTTGATCGGTGGTTTACGTGGAATTGGCCTGTTAAATCCCCGCTCTTCGATCACACTAAGTCAGGATCACGAGACCATTCGCGGTTCAGAAGACGACCATGTTCTTATGAAAGATTGGAAGGAGTGGATCAGAATTGAGTCAGGACGTAGGGCATCTTGGGCAGCATTCGAGTATGACTGCAGTCTTTGCACCCTCACAAGTCGTCGAGGCATTGTTGACTTGAGCGAACTGCCATCTGAGTTGCCATGTCCTGAATCCATGTGGAATGCCTCTTCAGCACGAGCTTGGTTTGCTCTAATGTCTCGTCTTGGCCAGGACGACTCAAAGCCAAACCTGTCCAGAGTACTGAAACAGGCACTGGCTGGGAGAGAACTGCCATCGTCCCTGGGATCCTGGGCTAAGAGGCTCTGTGCGCAGGTAATTGGGCGGTTACTCTGGGATCTCTGGCAAATCGAGGTTATCGCAATGCCCGAGTACCTCGGCCTTGGATCAATTGTGGCTGCTCACCAAGACACAAAGAGGTCGCTGCTCAAGGGCTTGAATAACTTGGTTGAATCTCTATCTTCGCCCTCATCGACGAGCGATCTTACCAGCTACAAGTAAGTATTGACTCCTCCTTAAGCACTAGATACTGACAGAAATACAGTATAGCCAGTCTTCTTTGCCACTATTCGCACTTGTGTGCCGCGAATGGCGTCCTCGACCTCATTTTATCCATCGTACGGGGACTCATCTCGACAGAGCCAAGAGTACACGACGGAATCAAGGTAGCCCGCAACCGTCTCAAGTTGACATTTGCCAGAGACCCGAAAACAGCAAGGAGGCTATGCTGGCACGCAGCCCAAATCGTCGCGATCGCTAATGAGTACTTGGTCTCTGCCCCTTGCGAGATTATGAGAGTCTTTATGGGCTACATTTTCATCATTGCCTACTCTACTTATGGGGATCATACTAGATCGTCGCCAATGGAGGTCACCCAAAGTGTCAGGCTGGATCTCCATGATCAGAACCTCTCTCACAGAAGAGTCGTTGTTAAATGGATTGAGGTTGGGGGGCCAGCTAGCTCTGGGTCTGTTCCCGATATAGGGGTTGATGGTTGTGTCCCTGCCATCAGCACCGATGCGCAAGAGATATTGAAGAAGCTGCAATGCTGGGGACTGGCTCATAAATTTACCAAGGTATTCCAGGTATTGGAAACGAAAGGGCTGTAGTATAAAGCGTGGAGCTAGTTGTTCTGCCCCTGTATGTATAAGATTCAGGCGTTAAAATATAGCTATACAATTTGGAGGAGTACTGACGCCTCCTGGCATATTCAGAGGTGCCGATGTTATAAAGAATTCCCATCTCTGTTCTTCTTGACAAATGCGGCTAAGACCCTCAAGATCGAATAGTTCACCAACTGGCATACCCCATCCTGCAATCAGATACTCGTGCATAAACAAACCCTTAACTGAAGCATTCTCTCCTCGCTTATAAGACGTCTGCGGAGGGTACACTTCGAAGGAAATAGCATCACTTGCTACAGCTGAAAAGCCTTCATTCCATATCCATTTCAGCATCTCTTCAGTGCCTTCAACTCCAGCATGCTGTGGGTTTGAACTCTGCGCATAAGCCAGCTTGTCAGCTGCCGTCATCTGCTGATCCCACTCCCTAACGACCCCAATTCTGATGAACAGGATATCTCCACGGAGAAACCTGACGCCTTGTTCCTTTGCGACGTCAAGTAGTACATGGAGCGGGATAGAATGGTCTGAGAATGTCGTGTAAGATATAGAATGGCGTCGAGCGTACTCAGCATAGTCCAGTAGAATACCACGACCGCAGATGCCCTCTTTGGCCCAATGCTGAATGCCCAAGCGAGTATTGTTTCTGTCTTGTATCTCGCCCGACGTCATTCCTCCGTAGAAGAGGCGACGGTTTGGGTCTGAGGGAGTTGGAGCTGGGGCAGAAAAATGGCGGAGCCCGTCCCATTGAGACGACTGTTGAGGGTTGAAGATATAAACGTCATCATACGCGGCGCCGTTCAAAAGCGAGACAATGTGATGTTGGGCTGGAGCTCGATTGAAGTTGGCAATATCCAGCTTGGTCAGCTCCCAGTTTAACGAGGTACGGCGACCTGTCTTGATGCATGTTGATGCCGCGTTGGCTACCACTTCTGGTGTGAGCAGTACGAGACGGCCGAGACCCTCTTCCCTAGACCCTGGCTTGCCAGTCCAGACTCTTTTTGGGTCTGGCAGACTATCATAGTCTCGATAGTGTAATGAGGCTTTGCTAGTCGTAATCATGGAGCCCATGGTAGGAAATTTGGGGGAGCCTATGTATAATGAAGCAAAGAAAATAGATCTCGCGCTCTAAGGAACGGAATTGGATATTGCTTACTTTTACAGGGCACACGTTTCCCTTCCAGAGATTTGAATTGGGCCTCGCTAAGCCAGAAGAGCGTAGCTTGGAAAGCATGATGCGGAGAAGGACTCGACCCCGTGGGGTCAGCTGCCATTTGCAAGATCCTTAGCCTGGCCACCTGAACCGGAGCGTGCCACTGCGGGGTTGGCAAGACACCAGCCCTCATATCAGCCAGGAAACATTAATTCAGTGCCGAGATTATCTCATCCTCTTTGTTAGCGAGACCTACTTAAGATACCAAGGTGCTACTCTCTTGGCTTCTAAGGGACATATAATATCTAGAAGCGCTACATAAGAATAAAAGACGCAGGTTGACAGATTGACCACTATGTGAATGACACGTGGACAAGTAGAAATCGAAGTGATGTGTCACTATCATATCATAACAAACAGGTCAGATAGAAAGGCGATATTTACAGCTTTATCTTTCTTTTTTTTCTTTGATGCTTTGCATTTTGGATTGAATTTCTTTCCAAATACCGCTGGTTTTAACATAAATATTGAAAATGGCCGAGGAGAAGCCCTTGCCTCATGTCTCGATCTTGCAGAACAGCTCGATTCGTCTACCTGACTTCAAGCCGTACCAACCTAATCCTGCTCTGAACTACACCCCGGAGTTCCAACGACACACTTGCAAAGACTGCAAAAGGCTGATCTTGGAGCTCCTTGAACACCCAGTAGGTCGCTCTCCAGATGAATACAGCAACTTTGAAAGTCACCGTGATGGGCTTCTGTCCACGTTAGTCCATGGTTCGGCCAGTTGCCGCGTATGCGCCATTATCATCAATCAGATTCTATGCGATCGCACTGATGTTCAGCATGAATTCACTCATTATCAGCTTGCTTTGCCACTCAAGAAGAATAGTTTCTGTGTCAGGCTCACAAATGATTCAGAAACGGCTGACACCGCCGGGAGAAACATTTATGGCGAATTTGCCCTTTATCGCAGCGAATTACCAAATGAGTTCTCTTGGTTAGATTATGGGATTGTCTATACGCCCACGTGGACCGATTTGTCTGTTGTTAGTTTTCAGCCGTATCTTGCGTCACGAGATTATCCTTGCCGTGAAAAGGCAATCGACAAAATCAAGGGCTGGATAGATACCTGTGAAGCGGAACATGATCACTGTGCCCAACAACACTCTACGGGGCTCCCTAAACGGGTCCTCAAGATTGCAAACGATAACATTTCTCTCTACATATCCCAGAAAAAGGATGTTCCAACTGAAGATCAACGCTACGTCGCTCTGAGTTACCGATGGGGGAACGATCTTCCGTTGAAACTAACCCAGAACACGTTGGGCGACTTCATCAAAGGATACCCCATCTCCAAGCTGCCTGATACTCTCCAAGACGCGGTGCGCATCTCTCGCAATCTAGGCTTCAAGTTTATCTGGATCGATGCCCTCTGTATCGTCCAGGATGACGAAAATGACTGGGTGGAACAGTCGGCCCTGATGGCGGATATCTACCAACACAGTAGCCTCAACCTGTGCGCGGCGGACTCAGCAGGCTGTGGCTCAGGAATGGTGGAAATGGCAGCGCCGCACTTGATGGAAATTACTACTGCAGTGACCCAATCTGCAGACACTGGTTCAAGAGAGACAGTAGTTCTGGTGGGAGGCCCTATCTCTACCGCCATTATCGACTGGGATAGATGTGGGCTTCTTTCCAGGGGATGGGTCTTCCAGGAGGGCCTCTGCTCCCCTCGCGGCCTCTATGTTAGCCGTCGGCACGGCTTGTTTTGGGACTGCGGGGCGATGATCGATATGATTGACAGGCGTGAGTCAATATCGACCGGGGATTTTGATCATGCATTCAACCCACGCACCGAGAGGCGGTCTTTTTTGTCTCTTACAAAAAATGCGAACCGTCACTCTATGGCAGTCCGAGATTTCTCCTTCACCTGGTATGACTGGATGGAGCTCTATACATCGAGATACCTCACGCGAAAAACAGATCGTCTCCCCGCCGTAGCGGGTATGGCCTCTTATGTCGCCTCGCTATCGGGAATGAAGTACAAGGCCGGATTGTGGGAGGAGGATATCCTACGCGGATTGATGTGGCGTAGAGGCAGTTCGCGCCACGCCAAGCGAGTACCAGGAGGCGCACCTACATGGAGCTGGGCTTCGATCACCGGGCCAGTCTATTATGATGAGTTCTTTACCATGCGTGTTAACCACCGTGGGAAGATTGATCATTGTGCCGAGTTGGACCTCGACATCATGGACACGACCATTGAAGAAGAGCAGCCAGGTACATTTGGGAATGTACGGCGCGGAGAAATCAAGGCCTCTGGCGTCTTGAAGCACGCCGCGACGATGTTGCTGAGAGAACAGTGGAATACGAAATGGGAATTCGACATACAGCCTAAAGAACCCGAAGCTGACGTCCTCGAACATTGCCAAGTACTGCGGCTCGCCAAAGCCTACCGGGATAAGGAGGGTACCCCCCCAGTTGTCTATTTTCTAATTATCCGGGAAACAGGCCGGCGCGAAAAAGGATACCAGCGCGTCAGCCAAGGGTGTATTGTGCTAAAATACGACCAGCATCCGAATCGTTGGAAAAGATTTCGTATTTTTTCTAGCACAAAGCCTAATTATGGGTTTTCAGAGGAGGAGGTATGGAGGGAGCTTAAGAAAGTTGCGTTGACTCTTATTTAAGAGAGAGAAGAGGAATGGTACAGTTAAGATAAGTGTCAAGAAAGTAAAGTTATATACCAGCACTACATCATAGCCTTGCTCTTTTCGGTTGATTCCTCCATATGGGTAATATCCAGCTTTCCAATATACTCATCAAGCTCCTTACGCTGCTCAGCCGGAACATCATTGACGTGAACAGCAACGTCATCACCGAAACGGGCAGAAATCTCCTCAAGTGACAGTTTGGCAGTCTCGGGGAAGTACAGGTACACGATGGGTATGAAGAAGATGCACCAAATGATAATGACCAAGTAATACTTCCAACCAATGTTCACGAACCCAATGGGCGCTGTCTGAAGCAGAATGATGGTGCTCGTGAACTGGCCAAAGAGGGAGAAGCCCATGCCAATAGGGCGAATCTCGGTTGGGAAGATCTCTGACACGTAGATATACATCGTTGTATCACAAAAGGTTCTTGGACAATTGTCAGTTGACGAAGACTCTCAGTTCAGGCGGGAAGACTTACCCTTGGAACGCCAGGTATAGGAAAACAAAGAAGACGCCTGCTGCATTACCTGCCTTATTGGCCGTTCCGGAGAACTCAGAAATACAGGCAGCAAGGCCACTCGTGGTAATCAAGCAGCCAAACAGACCAGTCATAAACATCCATCGGCGTGAATTAATCTTGTCGTGAAGCCAGGCGCCGAGCGGGTTGTAGATGACACCAGCGGTCGTAAGCCATAAGGCCGAAAGGAGCAGAGGCATGGATCCAGTTTGGCCGAGATTGGTGTAAAGAATGACTGAGTAGTTGTTCTGATAGTGTTAGAACTTGAAGTAAGTGGAGAATGGTAAGCATCAACTTACGATGATCAGTGGTCCCGCGAACTCGGCGCCCCATTGAGTCAAAAAGCCTATTGCCAGTCGTTTTCGGTAGCTCTTCTTCTTGAGGACTGCCATGAAAGGTCCGCAGCCTAGCGCCTTGAGTTTGGCAGAGTCCAGAGCCAGTTGTTCCTTGATCTGGTAGATCTCTTCGCGGGCGACTAGGTCATTTGGATCGTCCGGTGACTGTCGCAAGTTACGAACAACAGTCCATGCCTCCTCAATTCTGCCCTTCTGCAAGAGCCATCGGGTAGACTCGGGGATCCAGAAAGAAGTGATGAGAAGGACAGTGGGAGCTAGGCATTGCATGCACAGCGGGAATCTCCAGGCAAAGTCCGGCTTGCTTGTGGTGAGAAAGTAACAGCCATACCCAAGCCAGCCCGAGAGCATGTAGCCAAAGACGAGAAAGATGGCGTGGTGTCCAACGAGCCACCCGCGTTTGTCGTGTGGTGCGAGCTCTCCCATGTACATCGGGCAAACCGTGACGAGGATTCCGATACCGATGCCAGCCAAGATTCGACCCGCTTGGAACATACTGCAGTATCAAGTCAGTCTTTCGAACGTCGCCATGTCTGAATCAAGCAACCATGCGAGTAAATAGACAAGACTCACCTCAGATTTGCTGCACCGCCCTGCAATGCTCCTCCCAGCAACGCAAAGGCTCCGCCAATCTGGATAGACCGCTTCCTGCCCAGCGCTGTAGCAGCCCACATAACAAAAAGCGTGCCAATGGCGCCGCCCGCACTGTAGATTCCATTCGCGGTCGAGATAGCTTCAGTTGTCTCGGTGCTGTAGCCAGGCTCACCCGCCTGAGGCAAGTCGAAGAATTTGTACCATCCTGGCTGCCCGATTGTGCTGCCAATGACAGAGGAGCAGTAGCCGTATGTCTGGAAAAAATGAGCATAATGTAGCTGGGTGTGGATGGCTATCAGAACAGCTTACCAGGGAGCCAAAGGCAACCGCGACAGTCACCAGCCTGTTGTAAGCAGTTGTATGCTTACCCATTGCTAGCGGGTTGACACCAGAATGCTGGAGGTATTGACGATGTTGTTGTTTAGTTATGGGTTCTTGTTGCTGGAACAGTTTGGCAAGGTAGTTGTCAATTTATCCCCTGACTCTGCCTTCTTATAAATGAATGACCCTCTAGCAAATACCGGTCTGGCTATTGTATGAAGAATATCATTCGTTTACCCCGTTACCCCGGATTTCAGGAGGTCGGAGGTCCACTCTCCCCACAAACAAGCAATGCAGCAGCGGGGCAACTCCGAAGTGGCTGGCAGGTCTTCGGAGCGTGCCACTTTCTGGGGAACTTGATTTCACCTTGGGCGATGCTTGTGCCAAAACAGGCAACGGTGCCGGTCTAATCAAAGGAAGGGCATGATATTCCCTCTGCTAGAATTGTTAATTGGTAAACCTGTTTGTGGACTGTGGACGAGCAATTCAGTCCGTGGAGGACGAGCTACGTACCGCCCGAGACATCAGGTCTGAACTACAACTTCAATCTCGCTTGCAGATAAAACAATGAAGCGACTGTATATGCCATGACCGACTGATCTTTTTCTTGGTGTTGCAAAAAACGTTAAAAGTGAGTGTACTGAAAATAACAAGGATGTTCCAGACATGGTATTGTCTTCAGTCTGTGGGACGGTTCTGCAAAATAGAAACGAGAAAAAACTTAAAAGATTACTTGAAAGAACTTAAGAAGTTTATTGACAGAGAAAATAAAGTAATAATAGGGTCTAACAGGTATCCTTTAATGCTTTAATCTGCAGTTATTTGCCTGCTCCAGGGTAGTGAGATAAGACGTGCGCTTATCAATCGATAAGCGACAGTCGATAAGTGATAGTCGATAAGCGATAAGCGATAAACCTTTTCACCGCCCGTAAAATAATCCGGCGAAACGCGGTGGGGTCCCGATCATGTGTTTTGTCGTGATCCAGCTTGACTAAGCGACACTGGCCCTGATTTAGGTTTAGTGCGACTACTGATAAGCAAGCTGCGTAACTCTCAGGCACGGAGCTACGGGCCCGGAGCCGTATCCCGTATCGTTCATTGCGTGTATATGCCGAGAATGCTCCGTCATGGATCGGTATTTATATAAACAGAGTAGAGGAGTTGCCATTGAACGCTCTCCTCCTCTCTGTCTTTACAGTCATACCAAATCCACAAAAAGTAAACAGCCCTGAATTGACGAGCCCAAGAATGTTCTACTAACCCATCTGTAGTGTCAAACAAGATCGTTCCTCTTACCATTATCAAGGGCGCTGGCCACGAGCACATCCCCATTCCCGACGGGGAGTGCGCTATTATCGCCGACTTCCACTCTATCAAGAGTCAGCGCAACGACTCTGATCATTACCTGACCACGGGTTTCTATAAGGTCGTTCCTGGACCTACACGATATGGATCCTACGACTACGAGGAGACAAAATATGTTCTCAGCGGCCAAATTGATGTGACTGTAAGGATCTCTCCCTGCAGATTTGCAAGTACGCGATACTGATTACGAACAGGATGAGGCTACCGGTATCACTCACCATCTTGTTGCAGGAGACTGGGCCTTCTTCCACGTCGGTTCCAAAGCCCAGGTTAGTTCTCTTCCTCCAATGCTTTGAGAATCATGGCTGATCTGTATTTAGTTCTCCACCAGGTCGCACGGTGTTGCCTTCTACGCTGTTACTCGGCCGGCAAACGACACTCCTCACATTAACCTCAAGGGTCGTGAGGAGAGCACTTCCAAGTTGTAAAAGTTTAAAGATATCATAGTCTGTTAATAGATAAGAATACATGGCCATTCCATATTGGCAACACAAGCATAGCAATCTGGGTCCAACCCGCATTGGCCACTCAAGTATGAAATAGAATGAGATCGTGATCTGCAACTATGTCGCCGGCTTGCGCCCGTATACCGAGATACTTATAACGGTTAGCTCACTATTGGGCATTGGCGCAGAGACTTACATTGGCCAGTATGCATGAATCCGAGGATCGTTAAGTTCTTTCCTGGCTTGAGCGATGAAAACAGTGACCTCCTCCCTCGACCATCCCAAAGCCCGGGTAAGTGGAGCTATCGCCACAGCTTCAAGAAAGAAATTCGCATTCTCGTTATTCCATACACCCAATTCCTTATGCTTCTTGTCTTTTGGCCATCGGTTTGTTGGCCATTTAAACTTTGCTTCCGTTACATCTTCAAAGCCAACCTTGGTGAGGACATCTTTTATGTTGCCTGGGTCGAAGTATGGTCTTCCAAGTTTGACGGATGCATCGTATATGAGCTGAGCCCACTGCCATAGATTGTGCTGCGGTGTCAAGGTGTTGTCGTCAGACTTTGTAAAGACATCGATCTCTTGTAGTTCTACATAGGCACCGGGTTCCAGGTTCCTAATGCATCTCAGCTTTGTAGGTTGAAGAAATGAACATGCGAAAAGCCTCACTCGAAGATCTTTTTAGCGTAGCTTTCCCAGTCTGCGACACTAGAGTTCATCATTCGACTGTGGATGTAATCAAACTTTGAAGAGTATTGCCACTCCTCTTCAATATCGTCAATGATGAATCGAACATTTGGTGGGACACTAATATAGTTAGCTGGTTTAGGTAAAGGGGCGTAAGAATCCATACAAGCTGGGTTGAATGGGAGACAGGTCAACTCCGATAACCTGAAAAGCATTAATTGGTGCCAGCAAGGAATAGCTGAGGAACCAACCTCGGCACCTGGATGGTCGTCTGCATAGTCCATGACCCAAATTCCAGTGCCAGTGCCTACATCCAGAACATGCTGGACTTTAGCTCCAGGCTTACTCGGAGGAGCAAAGCCAAGCCTATCATTAAAGGTCCGAAGGAACAGAGCGTGTTGCAAATCTGATCTTTTCAGTAAAATGTCCATTAGATCCGGTGAAGCATATACCTAGTCTCTCGTTCTCTTCCTCGTCATTTGGAACATTGTATTCTGTGTGATCAGCAACCGTAGACTCTACTGATCACAGAACTCACTGCCATCTTTGTAACCGTGGTAGGTTCTCCCGTTTTCCTGGCGGTACTGAAGAATGGAGCTGCTTATACTTTGCGTCGATGACTCCACTTCCTAGGGTAGAGAAGGCAGTTTGTCAGTCTGTACCCAATTGAAGAACACTTGGCTTGAGACT